CCTCCTCTCCTCCTCCCACTCCCGCCCCCGCCCCCCGCCCCCCCTCCCCCCCCCCCCCACCCCTGTGCATTATTACCTTGAGGTGCGTCACTTTATTTTTTCAACTTCCGCACCAACCAGGGGACTGTAAAGGTTAAAAAAACAAAAGTTCATAATGAGATTGTCCTCGTACTGATTTTTAACTCAACTTTGAGTAGACTGACATCTCACTGAGTGACGGCCCAGTATCTAGTAACTCAGCCTTCCGGACTCCGGCGGCCGGGCGGGCCGGGCCTACCCGAGGGGCGGCGGCGTGATCGGACCGGACCGCCGCGGCCACAGTCCGATCCGGGGCCCGATATTGTTAGATCAGTAATTTAGTCACGGTTGGCCGTGTACGTCACTGATCATGCGGCGGCTGCGGCCTGCCGCCGCCCAGCCCGGCACGGTCTGGCAGTGACACTGGCCCGCCAGTTGAACCGACCGTACTCATCAGTAACCATCTTGGCATGGCATGATGATTTCATAAAGTTGATCGACAATTTACCAGCTTCCTCCTCCTCCTCCTCCTCCTTCACTGCTTCCTCCTCCCCAACCCTGGAAGTGCGACCCTTCGCTTCCCTTGCCCCGCACTTCCTGCGCATGCTGCCGGATACGGTCACATTGAAGCCCAGCAAGTGACTCGGCGACCACAAACTTACCCTCGTGATTCGCTGGTAGTTCCTCTGTCAGCCCAACGTCAGCTGGGATCAGGATCGAAACGAAAGGGACCCGCACCTCGATCTCCCGCTCGACATCAGTGAAGACGACCGGACGATCAGTGAAGTTCTCGAAAATAGTCGAAGAGATGAGGTCGGGGAACCTTGTCAAGGGAGTGAATACACTCCGCTCCGCTCCCATCCTCCTCCTCTCCTCCCCTCTCCTCCCCTGTCCTGCCCTCTTCTCCCTGCTTGCCTCCCCTCAAATCCTCTCCCATCCTCCCTCCTGTGTGCTCCTTTGCTTTCCTCTCCTTCGCTCGCCTCGCCTCGCTTCTCCCCTCCTCTCCCTTCTCCTCCACAACCTCCTCCGGAGAGACCCGAGGCGAAACATGGCGTCCTGCTGCTGCCTGTACAAGGATGAGTCCTCGTCCTCCATGGCCGCCGCGTGCAAGAGGACCAGGAACTTGTGTCAGCTGGTGGGCTGCTGCGAGCAGGGATGATGCTGGATGAAGACAAGTCCCTCCGGCAGATGGGGCAGTTCCGGTGAGTCTCCAGCCATGGCTCGAGGCAGCTCATGCAGAACCTGAGCTGGTCAGTAGCCGGAGGTGTCATGCGATGGGGAGGAGGTACCTGTGGCCGCAGCCCAGCACCATGCTGTTGGACTTGTCGTTGTCGGAGGAGGGAAAGGCGTAGTCTTCGAGGCAGACAGGACACTGCCAGCTACTGGGAGTCAAGGAGGGAGAGAAACGAAAGTTGCGTATGTACCGAGCGTTATCGTTGGAACCTGAAAGAAAATTGATCAGAGAAGGCAGCGAGGGTGTAGGAAAGCAGGCTAGGAAGGAGTTGAGAAGATGGAGGAGGAGAAGCGAGTGGGGTGATGGGGAGCAGCAGGAGAGGAGAATGAGGAGGGGAGTGGGGGGGAGGGGGTTGGCAAAACCAGCTGAATGACCTTTTCGTGCAGCCTCGAGCTTCTTGCCCGCGGTCTCTTCGATTCGCTTGAGGAGCGACATCGCCTTCAGTTGCATAAAGTCAGGAGGGCAGGAGGGCAGGAGAGCGAGGGTGCAAAAGGTGCGGCGGTATGGCAGGAGCTGGGACAGAGCAGGGAGATGATGGCAGGGAAACGGGCAGAGCAGGGCAGGGCAGACTTGCAATCACCTTCTTGAATTCATCCTTCCTGTTTCTGTCCTGATATTGTTTGTATGATGCCGTTGCAAGGAAGAAAGCTACGATGCTGGAGAAGATGATAATGTTCTACACCAGCAATCATCTCAACTTCACTCACTGCCAAACAGCATGCGGACCTTGTATCTTGCCCAGAATGTTTTCTTCTCGGAAATTCGCGTGATGATTTCTTGCACGCCCTTCAGGAGCTGTAAAAGGGTGAGGGGCAGCAGAGGACAGCAACAGTCTACAGCTTGATCGAAGTATCCCTGTCGCAGCACCGGCCTCATGACGTCGACGATTTGGTTGCAGACGCTGATCGAGCTGGTTAGCGTGTGAGGTGAGGTGAACAGGAGGAGGCGACCTGTCGGGGAGCTTGTTCCGAGCCAGCCGGCCAGTAGAGATGTACACCTGTAGGGCTCTCACAAAGGAAGAGACGATTGGCTTGCCCCAGCAGGAAGTTTTCTGTACCTGACGGTCCTCTTTGGAAACGAACAGCAGGACTCCGTTGCCGATGCCTTAAACATTTTTCACTCCCTCGAGCTCGCTACCCTCCAGGGCTCACCCGCGCTTCCCAGCCCCCAGTTGTCGTGCACTTGTCGAGCGTATCTAGAGGAAGGGACAAGTCATCACGACTGCACACGAGGCTGGTCTTACCGGGTAGCGAGCTCCCTCCTGTCTTTGTCCGCTGGTCCCATCCTGCAAACTTGGTTACAATGCAAACAAGCACTGCATCTCATATACTTGTTTACGATCGCTACCGCAATCTGCAGATCATGGACTAGTGAAGTTTCGTCGTCTTTCAGTCCGACTTGTTTCCTAGCTGCGAGCAGAATCATCAGAGCTCAGAGGAGACTGTACAAGACGCACCCGCATCGATCATCTCGTCCATCTGATCTGCAGACTTCCTGCGTCATCGTCACTCGTGCTTCTGTATAGTCCAACAACTCGACCTTGATATCAAACCATCGGGATCGCACACAGAGGACGAGTGCTTCACTGTCGATCTCCCGCAGGCGCTGTCATCCTGTCAAGTACATGGAGGCACAAGAGTAAGGAGCAAACCTTGCTCCCTCCTTGGTCGAGGGGTTCGGCAGAGCACTGCTTGGCCAACCCTGGGCTCCGTTTCAGGTACTTGGGACAGCTCCCAGACTTCAAACTGCCACCTTGACGGTGTACTTGTGTTTCTTCTCGCCTCTTGTCTCGAGGACCTCCTGGTTTCTTCGGTCCTAAGATCCTGAACGATCAGTGGAGAGCACGACGAGTCCGTCAATCCTACCTTGGTGTCTGCTGTCGCCATGCCTTGCAAGACGAGCAGCAAAGAAACGACGGCTACGATATTGCATGAGATAATTTCATCGCACACATCAAAGCAAGAGGCTTACCGACAATGCTTTCGAGTCTCCTCTTTCGTACGATGAACTTCAAGCTGGACATTCGCCGATTTCGCATCTGCGACCCACACATGTAAGGTCTCCCTCCCTACGTACTGCATCTCTATCTCTTTCTCATTGTTTCCTTCTCTTCCCTTCCCTTCTCTTCTCTTCTCTTCCCTTCCCTTCTCTGCGCTGCGCTGCCATGCCCTGTGCTCGCTTCTCGTTTCCCCCCATGGTCCCCAGAGGCCTAAATGGGATGTAGCAAATTTCTGCAAACTTACCGTTATTTGAGTAAATAGTTTACTTATCTCATCCTCGCGGTAGTACTGACGAGTTACAGCCTGTCGGTCCTCGGCGGGCCGCCCGGCCCGGCCCGGTACCACCGTACGGGGTAGTACCCGGCCAGGCAGCGCCCGGCGCGCAGGCTCCCCGGGGCCAGACCGTACGCCAACGTACCTTTCGGCCCAGTTACGTTTGGGGGACAGCATTCGGCAGGATGAGGGTTCAATTGGTTCGACCTCCGAATCACTCGGAGCCTGGTCGCCACTGGGTTGACCCGGCGGGCCGGGCCGGATTATGTCCTGCGATCCCTTTTGTAAAAACTTGTACAGTTGATCCCTGCCCGCCTCATCAACGATTAACGGTTACAAACATTCATTTTACGGTATAACCGCCAGCCGCAGGCCCCTTTAGATGGACGGCGAAAATGCATGGGGAGGTGCACGGGCACTGGACGGGGGGAAGGAGGAGGAGGAGAGGAGGAGGAGGAGAGGAGGATGTTGATGTTACAGAGAGATGAAACAAGGTAGATTACGATGAAGAGGGACAGACATGTTGAGGATGAAGTGAGGAGAAACAGAGTGAGTTGGGTACCACCCCAGCAGGATAGGGAGTAGATGAATCGTTGTGCAGAGATGGCTTTTGATCCTAGACTTGCACTATCGTGAACCTCATCGTATCTCTGCAATTACTCTTGTCGTTGGAAATCATAGTGAAACAACTTACCTGGCTGTACTTCCCCAACCTATCTGGCTGGACTTCCCCAACTTACCTGGCTGTACTTCCCCATGCGATCCATTGAGGTTTCCTTGACAACTTTTGAGTTGCTACTTTATGATCGTTGTGTCTTTGACAAAGTTTTTCTGCAGATGTTTGGTCGTTGAGAAACTGGACTTATTCTTTCCAAACCCTCCCCTTATTCTTTATTCGCCCATGATGACATCCCATGGTGTCATGCCATTTTTCTGAAGTACTCAGACGGCGCAAGGGTTTTTGCATGAGAATCAAGGTATCTTCCAGACTTTTTTGTATCCTTCTCTTCCTCGCCAGTTTGTCGATGATGAACGGGGATACAACGAACAACATGATACTCTCCAACATGAAGCAGATCAAATGTATCTTCTCCGACCTTGACGGTAGGCTTCTAGGAGGGGGAGGAGGAAGGAGGTCGAGGTAGAAGAGGATGGAGCAGCAGCAGCAGCAGCCGCAACAGCAGGAGAAGGACCAGGACCAGGACCAGGATCAGGACCAGGACCAGGACCAGGAGGAAGGGGAAGGAGGAGGAGCAGGAGGAGGAGGAGCAGGAGGAGGATCGTGTGTGTGCTGATCTACTTATCGCAGGAACCTTGTGTCACTTCGAAAGGGACACCATCAAACATGGCGTGAAAACCACAGAGAACAAAGAAATGTGCACTGCCATCGTGCGAAACAAGTAAGTCAAAAGACTTGCTTTCTTTCAAGGACAGGGGCAGGGGCAGTGGGTGGCGAAGGGAGAGAATATTATTGACTTGGTATTGTTGGACGAGGAAGTGAAACAGGGGAAAGGGGAGGAGAAGGGGGCTGGAAGGCGCAGGAGCAAGAGGAGAAGGAGGAACAGGAGCAGCAGCAGCAGGAGCAGGAACAGGAGGAGGAGGAGGAGGAGGATTTACAAGAATGTTGAATCAGGGATGGACAAACGAGAGCTTGTCGTCTTCTCCCAGCATCGACGATGGGCAACGGGACAGTGTCGGAGAGGACGATCGAGCTGGTCGGAAAACTAAGAGCGCACGGGGTGAAATTTGTCATCATCTCCGGAGCAAGGACGACGACGATACAGGAGAGACTACCTTTTCTACCACTGGTTGACGCCGTTGCATGCGAGACTGGGAGGTAGGGCTCGTTACATCCTCTCTCCTCCCTCCTCCCTCCCCCTCCTCCCTCCTCCCTCCTTCCCTCCTCCCTCCTCCCTCCTCCTCCCATGGACTCGTCTCCCTCTTGTCGCTCCCTCTAACTGCTTCCCTGTCCCTGGCTGATAACTTTTGATCTCCTCTTGCTCCGCTATTCTCTCCGCCATCGCTCTCTCTCTCTTTCGTCTCTTCCCATTCCGTTTCCTTCCTCACCTCCGGCCTCCCATTTTACCCCTCCTCCTCCTCCTCCTCCTCCTCCTGCTTCCTGCTGCTGCTGCCACTGCTCTCCTGTTGTTCCTCTCCTTCCCTTCTTTCCCCTCTTCTCTCATTGATACATCTGCACTCTTTGCAGCAAGATCTTTTATCCCCCCGACAGTACGACGGAGCCGGTAAAAGCGAGCAGCTGGATGATGGATGAGGAGTGGTCGAAGAGGTTCGAGAAGGTATTTGACTCCTTCCTCTCCCTCCCCCTCCCCCTCTCCCTCCTCCTCTCTTCTCCCTCCCCCTCCCCCTCCCCCTCCCCCTCCCCTCCCCCTCCCCCTCCTCCTCCCCCTTCCAATATATTCTTCCTCCTCATTCTCTCGGCAGGTCACTGGGCCTCTCAACACCGACACTCCTGCCGTCTCACGACAAGGAACCTTGTGGGACCTGTAAGCCTCTCCCTCTTCTCCCCTCCCCTCCCCTCCTCTCCCCTCCCCTCCTCTCCCCTCCCCTCCTCTCCCCTCCCCTCCTCTCCCCTCCCCTCCTCTCCCCTCCCCTCCTTCTCTCTCCTCTCCTCTCCTCTCCTCTCCTCTCCTCTCCTCTCCTCTCCTCTAGATTGCGCCCTTG